CTGCGCGACAGAACACGCGCTCTACACGCGACGACGGGGGAAGGAGGAGCTCGTCGTCGGCGTGTATGTGGATGACTTGATCATCACCGGGGCAAGAGAAGGGGACATCAATGGCTTCAAGCGCGAGATGGCAGCTCGTTTTCGCATGAGCGATCTCGGGCAGCTCTCCTACTACCTCGGCATCGAGGTGAAGCAGGGGAGAGACTCCATCACTCTCTGCCAGCGTGCGTATGCGGGGAAGCTGTTGGAGCGGAGCGGCATGGCTGACTGCAAGTCATGCGCGACTCCGATGGAGGAGCGGCTGAAGCTGACGAAAGCCAGCACCGCGGGGAAGGTGGATGCAACACTCTACCGGAGTATCATCGGCGGGCTGCGCTATCTAGTCCACACGAGGCCAGATATTGCATTCGCCGTGGGCTATATCAGTCGTTTCATGGAGGACCCTCGAGAGGATCATTGGGCTGCAGTAAAACGGCTGTTGCGCTATGTCAAGGGGACGGTGGATCAGGGCATCATTTTCCCCAAGACCGGCGACGGAAGTGAGCTGCGACTCACGGTTTTCAGCGATGCAGACATGGCAGGCGACATTGATGGCCGGAAGAGCACCTCTGGTGTGCTCGTCTTCCTTGGATCGGCCCCAATCTCATGGCAGTCGCTGAAACAGAAGATCGTGGCGTTGTCTACGTGCGAGGCGGAGTACGTGACGGCAGCCACAGCGGAATGCCAGGCGGTCTGGCTGCGTCGGTTGCTGGGCGAACTGACCGGCGAGGAAGCTCGTCCACCAGCATGGTGGACAACCAGTCTGCTATTGCCCTTGCAAAAAATCCAGAGTCCTCCATGACCGGAGCAAGCACATCGATACCTGTTTTCACTTCATCCGTGATTGTGTCGATGAAGGACATATTGTTTTGGAGTTTGTCGAATCCGAACAGCAACTCGCAGACATCCTTACCAAGCCACTCGGCCGTCTTCGGTTCATGGAGCTAAGGACCAAGATTGGAATGGTGGGAAACAAGCAAGAACAGCAGGATTAGGGGAAAGGGGAAGAATTGTAAGAAATATAATGTGCTGTTTCATTGTTGTTTCCTTGCAATTGCAGTGCAATTTCCTTGCAGCTGCAAAGCATTTTCATAGCAACCATTCTAGGCTGATTTTTCACGACTTTTCAACTTAGATAATTTCTAGGAAAGCCACTAGGGTAGTTGCTTTTAGTTCTTATAAATAGGGATGCAGTTTTTATTTGTAAACACACAGAAAAACTTAATACTCAATACATTGAGTTGTTCACAATCTTCTTCTTTCATCCTAAAAGTGTTCGTTTGTGCCGGAAGCATTTTTTGCTTACCTGAGTAGTGAACGAGCAGGACTAACACCGTAAAGAAAGTAACGCATTGGAGGTAGTAGTAGGCAGTTATAATTTAGTCTGCGAAAAAGCAGTTCTATATGGATGTACAGTCCAATTATTTATGAAATTTTCAATGTTGACATCCATGGATTGGAATGCTCTAAGGAGACATTAATGTCTTCCTTGTGGCCATATACATCAAGAGAAACGCGTATAGTTTGTATTTTGGACACAAAAGTATTCCAAAGTAACTAATATTGCATATATCTGAGTTATCGTCATGTGTGGTTTTCAAAAGGAAAACATCGTAGTTTTATTTTCATAGGTTCTGTCTTGAAAATGACTTTCTCGATTGTAGAGTCGTGACATTTGTTTTTTTTATCATGTCTATTTTCCAGTCAAGAATTTCCTTGGAGACATTTGTCATCCTAATTGTATGTACAAATCAACATAATTTTATTTATTTGTTTATTTTTTGATTTAAGTTGAATATGTATTGGTGATTAGTAGAGCCTAAAAGTTGAATTTTTAATTAAGTTAGGAATGGGGTTGGGACTCTCAAAGTCCAAGTCCAGTTCATCTAAAACCCAAATTAAACGGACCCTTAACTGCTTCCACATTTACTACAACCATTGACTTTATCAACAATGTATTACGTTCTTGCACTTGCATACTAACATTAGTTAAGGGAGTAAAATGCCCAGTTTGATGAGTCTGCACGGTATGGGCAACTCTTGCTGGGATATCTAATATCCTAACCCAAAAATCACTTCAACTCATACTAGTTTCAAACCTGAGACATATTTCAGGCTCACCATGTTGGTCTAAACTCTAATGAATTAATAAAAAGTGCAGATAATGCTAGTAATGCAAGATGAAATATGAATAAATTTCTTTTACTAATATGATTCCTACATTGTTTATAGGAGTTGAAAACCTGCAAATCTCATAGGATAGGTGGTTATATACTCTAACATGGACCACATGGTAACCCTCAATTACTGGTGAATAATTAGTAGAAGAAATGGTTATGGCTTTTAGTTGTCTTCAACATCCAAACTTAATCCTGATGTTTATTCAGTTACATTCATTTTGCAACTCCTCATTCGATCACACTATAAAGAACTTCAATTAGTGTTGTGTGTTGCTGTAATCTTGGGAACTTGTTGATACATACAGATCAGAAATCTTCTTTATCTTTCTTCAAATGTGTTCCCTGCTCAAGTTGTCTGTCTATGAATGTAGGGGTGAACTCGATTACCTAGTCATAGACATGCCCCCTGGAACAGGTGATATCCAGCTTACTTTATGCCAGGTGTTGGTTTTATGCTCTTTCTAGGTTGTATTTTACTCTTACCATTTCCTGGTGGTACATTAATTGAGGTCGAGTCAACTGTTCAGGTTGTCCCATTGAGTGCTGCTGTTATTGTCACTACACCGCAGAAGTTAGCATTCATTGATGTTGCAAAGGGAGTTCGCATGTTCTCTAAGTTAAAGGTAAGCTAAAGGCCAGTTTCTTTTATTCTTTCATATGCATTCTATTCAGCATAATAATGAGCCGACTTTTGTTAATGATTTTTAAACTTATAATTATCTATTTTTTTCTCTTCTTTAAGAAATCTCTATATGAACTGTATTAGAACTGCATGTTCTGTTTTCAGGTACCTTGTGTTGCAGTTGTTGAGAATATGTGCCACTTTGATGCTGATGGGAAACGCTACTATCCATTTGGCAGAGGTTCGGGCTCTCAGGTTTTCTATTGCTCGTATATTTTATCTAAGTGTTACCCTCTTATGATGTACTTCAGGAGTTATGTACTGTGACTGAGACAAAAATCATGGAACACTAAGGAGTATCGGCACTCGTTTTTTATGAACTTATTCGATAACATATTTGCAGGTGGTCAAGGAGTTTGGAATCCCCCATCTATTTGAGCTTCCAATAAGACCGACTGTGAGTTCCACCTATGATCATGTTAACAATGTTGGCATACATTCGGTAGTTGTCTCTTAAATTTAGAACGCTGTACATTTGAATTGAAGATATCTTTTATTGTTTAGGTTTATTGACTAGCTGTTCACATGTGATGGCTCACCGAGGTGCACTTTAAAATCAGTTTTTTGTACGAAGCATTACTAATGTGCTTGGATAATAAAAGATAAATATGGAACCATAACTTGTAAAATCTGTTTCTCTTTCCTAATTTTCAGCTACAGTGGACGACTGGTATAAAACATGATATGTTGATTCCACTGTTTATACTTTTTACTGTTCATTTCATATTTATCAAGATTGTTTTCCACAGAATAAATTAAATCGTTGAAGCATGACATTATTTGAACTGTTGAATTATATTATGTATGTTGTCCTGGTAACATATCCAAACGGTATCATATTTTCTTGCGCATTTTTATGATTATTTGGCTTTCAGTAGGCTTAGAGATTGCTTCAATGCAAGTGGTTTTCTTTATTTCTTATGATCTAAGGGACAAAAAGAAAAGAATTTGTTTTCATTATGAAGATATCAGACAAAGGCAAGTTTTAAAAGCGCAGATTGTCGTGCACTTCTCCTTTCATTTGATTTAGTAGTTATATGCTTTAAAGAATGTTTACAACATTCATTTGGATTTTCTCTTTCATCTTTATAAATGGGTTGGATAGAACTCATTTCCAAAAGCTAGTTCAAAGGGAAACTGCCTAACCCACACTTATACAAAATAACAACCCAGTAACTGGGACAAACGTAACGTCTATCACCCGCTGTTACGCGTAGCGTGCCAAACCAATGGCCAGGTCCAAACCCAACATAAACTCCAAACAAAAAACCTGCGTGCTCTGATACCATGATAAATGGGTGTGGGTAGAACTTATCCCCAACAGCTAGCACAAAGGGAGAGGGTGGCAAACCCACACTTATGCATGATAACAACCCAGTAACTAATCGATGTGGATAAACATAACCTCTAACACTTCTTTTCCCCATTTTCACTCGCATACATCTTTTGTTGGACTAACCATTATGAGAACAGAAGTTTCAAGTAAAGTTTTCTACACAAGTTGATTTTTAAACTTGTATACTCTCTCTTGTAGATTAAGCGTATGTTCATCCTAGGAACTCTTATATATTTGTTGGTTTACATTCCGCTTAAGCTAAAAAAAAAAGTAAAAAATTTTCCTTTATTTTTTTCTATGTTAGTGAAGGTCTCAGCTATGAATAATCTAAAGGCAGATATTCGAAAAGAAGGTTGTATTCAACTATATTAATATGCCAAAACACCTGTTCTCTCTCTAAAATTATGGAGCTAGACTAATTCTATAAATTGATGAGTGCATAATTCGAAATATACATAGTTCGCACATGACATCTCTATTTTCTTTTACATTTGTTCTGTTTTGCTTGAATTGTTTCACTTTAAAAGAATATAACTGTGGATATTTTATGTGCTTTATATTGCTTTATTGCTCAAAACGTCTGTGGTATTAAAAATTTGTATCAGAAGGTTATAGTTTTTCTTACATTATATATTTGTTAATTAAGCACACGAAAAATTAATAACCAAATTTATAGGCATATTTTTTAAGAAAAGTTCACAAAGTTTGTGCCTTTAGTTGCTACGACATTTCATTTCAAATGGAGATCATACCTATAATGAATTTGCATTTTTAGGTTAAATCTAAACTATTCACAATAGCTATTCCACTCTTGTTACTATTGAGCAACATCAAGAGTAGGAGTGTCAATTTTCTGCTAGACAAATAACAGATATTTGTACATTAAAAGCAAAAGTCATGTGAGTTTATGACACTAGTTACATGGCAGCTATCAGCTTCTGGAGATAGTGGAGTACCCGAAGTCGTGACTGACCCTCAAGGTGATGTTGCAAGAACGTTTCAGGATTTAGGCATCTGTGTGGTTCATCAGTGCGCCAAAATCCGCCAACAAGGTATGCTAGTTTTTTCGATAACGATAGTTGATATATGTGTTACCAGTAGCTGATTTTCTATAGGTCCATGAGTCAGCAGATGCTTTTGCTGATCCATTCTACTTGATGCTTGTTGTACAGTGTCAACAGCAGTAACATACGATAAACTTATGAAGGCAATTAGAGTAAAAGTACCTGAATCAGATCAAGAATTTTTTCTGCACCCTGCAACTGTGAGACGAAATGATCGATCTGCAGAAAGTGTGGTACGTAAAAGAATATTCTCACAAAGGACTTTCTGAAGGATAAGAAAACAAACTAGTTGTGCATGCAGGAAAGGTACCAATTTCTAAAGATGGATGGTTGTGAACATAAATCTAAAAGGTCTTTCCGAATGTTAATCGAAAAGTTCTGTTTTAAACACTCCATGACATATGCCTTCATAATCTACAGATGATTACTCATTCTCGTATATGTTTCTTGAAGAATCCATTTTTTTGTGTGGAAACAAATTGGAATGTAATTCCTTCTTTAAGAATAATGTCAACTTCCAAATCATCTATAGCAAACTTGATCTAAAATCGGCTGTTCAAGTTTCGAATTCTAGTTAATGGGTTGTTATTGTGTATAAGTGTGGTTTGTGCATTCTCTCCCGAGCTAAGTTTTGGGGATGAGTTGTATCCAATCCATTTATCGGACCACTCCAAATTCTGCCATGAGTATCAACTCCATCATTCCTTGGTACCTCATTCCCATATTGTAGTTAAGTGTTTATATAAGCTTCTCGAAAGCCTCTGAAGCTTCAACGACATGGTACGAGCACAAACTTTAATATCCAAACACTCTTGAAAGGGATGATTTATGTAAAACACTGATTTTTAACTTCAAACGTATCCGAAAATGATATGTTATATTGACAATGGTTGTAAACACACATCCATTTTCCCTTACATGCCGAAATCCAGGGTTGTAAAGATGGGTAGAAAATATGTTATAATATAATTCCAGCATGAAACCTTTTTGTTCTCAAATGTTGTATTATTGGAAGATTTCTTGTTGATGAAAAACTGACGAATATAATGCAAATAATTTATGATTTCACGTAGTATATCCGCTCGACACTTGTAGTTTCAACATTTTAATTCCGATTACAGGATGAATGGACTGGTGAGCAGAAATTGCAGTACACGGACATTTCAGAGGACATTGAACCTGAAGAAATTCGTGCTATGGGGAATTATGCTGTATCCATAACATGGCCTGATGGATTTAACCAGGTAATTATCTGACATTGTTCAACTGCTCGACTGTTGAGATTTGAACAAATACTTTTGTTTAAGGAACTCTCCTGTTAGATGTGTAGCTCTCCTATAGATCCTGTAATATTAAAAAAACTATGCGTGTACCTATTAAGAACATTTTCCATAGCTATAATTACTTTAAGGTGAAGATCAAACTTCCAGTATCAGTTAGCAATTTAATATACTTCACTGATTCATTAATTTTCTTAAAGATATACCGGGCATAAGACCTACGATAATTACAGGTGAGTGACAGTGATACACTTTTTAGTCTTCGGACTCTTTTCTCCCACTGAGAGTTTATACTAAATGCACAATAAGAAATTACTACTATAGTCAATACACAATAAGAGAATCTTCTTATACTTACATTTCTCCCCTTCCTCTCTAACATTGTGTTAGAACGAGTTCTCTCGTGCTATATTTTTTCGAAACCCTTCACATGCTGCTGTTCTGAAACTATCAGTCTATAAAAAGCAGCAGCAAAATTGTTGAGACAATTTTCTCATTACGACTTCTGAAACTAAATCTTATTTGGAAATGGCAGTCAGACTCAACAGTCCAAACTATATTTCGTGGTCATGAACTTTCTAACTCTTTTTTCGGGTCACAAAATAGATTAAATCATATTGCTTCTCTTGATTCAAAAGTGATGGTAATGCCACTTGGAAGCGAGTTGATTTTTCTCTCATGATTCGACTTCTTAATAGCATGGAAGAATCTGTTAGCGCAGCTATTATATTCTTAAATTTTGCGAAGGAGATTTTGGATGCCTTACATGCTATGTAGTCAATGAGAGAAGTATATCTCTTGTGTGGTTGAATTACATTAGAAATTGTTCTATTTTTGTCAAGACGGTCGTTTTGTTATTGATTACTTTGCATCATTCGAGGGGGTAGCATATTTTGCTATACTGTCCCTTCTTATGAGGCCCCAACCCAAAAAAACTTCCAGCGAAGAATGGCCAACAGAAAAATCCGGTGGCACGTGTGGCTTACACGCGTGCTTCCGGCGGTGAAAGTTGACCGGAAAGTCGATCCGGAGGCGGCGAGTTGACTGGTGTGGGAGTTGAGATGGAAAAAAAAAATATATTATTTGTATGGTTGTGATACCATGTTACGAACCTTAGGGTTTTTAGACAAAGGAATAATTCACATGTGAAGATGCCCATATATATAGACTTAGCGCGTTAGTATATATGGATTGAGCCTATTATATAGTTAACACAATAATGATAATCTCGGTTTTATCATCTTTAATCAATTCTTCCATGGCTTTGCTTTCATCTCAACACATTCAATTATACAACTTTTTAGGAATTATGATAAATAACCCGTTAGTAGTCCATTTAGTCCTAAGCCCACTAAGTTTGGTTTAGGGTTAAGATTGGGTTTAGAATATTGCTATCCTGTTTAAATAAGGGTTTTCATTAGTCCAAACCGTTTAGCTGAATCCCGCTAGGGCTAACTCGTTTAATATTTATATTCAACTCGTGGTTGGGATAATTTGGTTGAGAGGGTTTCAAGAAAAAAAATGTACCAGAAATTGAGGACTCGAGCGTGAGTAATTGTGTGTTCTCATGTGACCAGTAGTGCCTTACTTATACTTCTATTCAAGTCGTCTCCTGCAAGTCTCGAGTCTGATCACGTCCGCATGTCCCAAGTCTAATTTGTGGAATCATGTTTATAGTTATTATGTAATTTAGTTACCAAATAATGAAATATGCTAATTGCCTGAAATTTCATTTATTTATTTCTATGTACTTTTAAAGTAAAGCTTATATCAAATATTCCCAGAATCAATTGAGATTAATTTAATGGGTTAGCCTAAGTTGCGTTTGAAGTACTATTATGAGATTTGCGATCTTAGGTAAGATGGAGCCAGGATCATGGGACCCTTTTTTGCTTATATTATCAAATCATCGTCGCCCCAAATTTGGTGGTTTCTTCTTATTATGTAACTAAAGATATCTTACATTATCTAGTTTGAATGTACTTTTATACTTAATAAAAGTTTGATAATGACTATATTATTCCTTTAGTAAAGGATGCTTTGATTACTATAATTGTGGTTAAGTTATATCAAAATAGGGAGTATTCTGTGATCTCCAAGAATATGCGTATAATAGTAAGCACAACCATTTGAAAACAAATATGGCTTTGTTAGTAGCAATATCCCTACATTATCTAATGCTTTGCACATGTATGCTTATATTCAAGGCTTCAAGTTAAACATTTGATGGCCCTTTGTTAATGCTTGCAGATAGCTCCATATGATCAACTCCAAATGATGGAGCGTCTAGTTGATGTTCCTCAGCTTCTCCACCAATAAAGCTGCTGCAGAGATGCCTGAATGTCGCGTTTGGTCGATTTATGTAATACGTTCATTAAACTTATTAGTTTTGGAGAATCTTTGTCTGTTTGATTGGCGATTCACCAAAATTTTTGTCCGCTTCATCATGAGCAGCACCTCAAGCCAATGAAGCATGTTGCACAAGCTGATGGTTCTTTATTGTAATTTCCTTATAAGTAACAATCTTAACTTCAGTTAGTATATTGATAGATTTTCCAAATTGTATATACAGTTTGTGTAAAATTTTCGAGAAATTTACACCCAATACTACATCTTTTAACATTATTTGCAAAAATACGAACGTCAAAACTCTCCTTTGTAAATACGATTTTTTTAGTTTCAATTAAATATGTAATTGACGGTTTGTGCGGTTTGAAATTATTAATCATAATCATCCTGAAGACACAATTAATTGGTCAAATTGGAACAAGCATATCGGGAATCATGATAATTCATATATTACCAAAAAAACAACCCGCTAAAAAAAAAAAAAAAAATCTCTCACCAAATCACGACTTTTGTGTTCCTTCACCTCATACAAGACAGGAGACGGAGAAAAAAAAATTCCATAGAACACTCAAACACCATCTTCCTCAATAGATTTATCAATTGCCAATCGAAGAAAATTACAAGATGTCAATTATCACAATAGTGAAGATGAAGTTTGATAACTCGCTCACTATCTCGTCTAACAACTAAAAATTAAAAATTCGAGCATAAAGTCATCCAAAAGAAGCCAGTCGCCGCCGCCATACGTTGAGCCATGAATCTAAGATGTCGCTCAAAAAATTTAATTCTCAACCGAGATCCAAGCGGGACCACGTAACCCCTCCACTGCCGCTACTGGCCGTCGCATCGTCTTTCGTCACTCCTTGGCAAGATTCTCAACTGAGAGCCAAGTGGTATATCACGACAGTCCTCCGTCGTTGGTCTTCGCATCGTCTGTCGATCTCCCACCCCTTGATTCTTCTAATTTTCAACAAGAGTACGACTCGAGATTTGGTTTAGATTAGATATGTTTAATTGTACATGTGTCATAGTTGTATGAGGTTTTGTGTTTATATATTGTTAGTTTATCTTAAGTTTAATTATATTGCAATCGATCAGAATGTTGTGTTAAGTTTTATCCCGTTTGTGTTATTTATATGTTGTTTATCTTATGTATAATTATACGGTTAATTTACATGCATTTTACATGTTATTTATCTTATGTATATATACAGTATATCTATACACAAAATATACCGTGTTGTTTTTTAGAGTGCACAAAATTGTTGATCGAACTTTGTAAATTTCATGTAAAGTTGAAACATGTTTGAATTGATAAGTTCTAAGTTCAATTCGGTGTCATGTAAAGTAGACATATAATGTTTATCTAATGTATAACTACATTCGGTTTGGATTTTGCAATAATTCAGAATTGTGTATTATGTTTATATACCGTTTTAGTGTTGTTTATATGTTGTTTATCTTACGTATAACTATACGGTTAATATTAGAAAAATGTTTGATCTTGTTTATCTAGTGTATATATACAGTATATCTGACATATTTTTCGTGGTTATGGGAAAATATATATATTATCTAAATTTTTTTACCGAAATAAATTTGCGGAGAGAGAAAAAAACATAAACATTAAAAGAGAAATGGATGGAAAGAGAAACGTATCAGATTTGATACGTTGATTGTGGAGGCCATCATGCCATGCTCATTATATGGAGAGAGAAACTATCATATTTGATATCATTAATCAATATATGGAGAGAGAAACGGATATGTTAATTTGAACCAATTCTCGTACAAATAAAAATAAATTCACTACTTATTCCTTTTTTGATTAATTTTTCTACAGATAGTATATATGTAAATATATCTATATAAGGGTATATGTATGTAATTTTCCCAAAATTTTCTGCATATATGTTGTCCTTGTTAAGTATATCAAGGCCCAGGCCCATTATCAATTCTTTATATATGGCCCTTTCATATCAAACAATGTCATCAACGCAGTAAATCTAGGTATGTAACATGGTATCGAGCCACAACAAATAATTTTTTTTTCCCTTCTCCTTCTAGTCTCACCTCCCACACCAGTCATCTCGCCGCCCCTATATTCACTCTTCGGCCAAACATCGCCGGAAAATACCGCGCGTGTGAGTTACATGCGCCGGAAAATTTTGATGTCGGGCATCTCACGCGCCGGCGCGTGGGGGCGCGTGGTTGGCTGGAATTTTCTCCGGCGAACGTCAGTCGGATCGGAATTTCGAGAGGTTGCTGCCAGTGGCGTCAGTTTTCTGTTTTGAAGTCTTTTGGGTGTTCGTTTTGGCCTTTTTCAGACCAGCTCTTTGTCGTGGTTAGGGTTCGTTTGTTCCGATCGATCCCAACACTACTCAGTTCCTGATTTGAGTCTTCACACGTCCGTCTTGTGATCTTACGCTGCCTGTCGCAGCCTCATCTGTCTTATTATACATCATTGTTTGCATATCGCCCGCCCATTGCGGAGGTATTTTGTCATCTACTGTCGAATCATGTCGCAACTCAATGCCATTGTTATCAATATCACTCTCGATGGCCAAATTATCGGGAGTGGGCTTTTTCTGTGGAAACAGTATTGAGGGGTTATGGTCTAGCCTTTCACTAACCGATGACGGTCCTGAACTAAAAGTTGACAATAGCAATGCTGCTGAGATCAAAACGTGGCAAATTAATGACGTGAAAGTGATGGCTGCCATCGTCAAAGTGTCAAGCAGTCCATGATTATGAGTCTTTCCACTTTTCGAACAGCTAAGACGATGTGGTCTTATTTGCAACAACGCTACGTTCAGGATAGTGGTGCACTCTTGCACACACTTATGCAGCAAATTCATGTCCTTGAACAGAATGATATGTCCATTGATGAGTACTACTCAGCTTTTGATCGTTTGATGGGACCATCGATCTCTATGGTGCCTCCATGCACAGAAGAGGAGTGTTCAGCACGTAAATTTGTTGAGAAATTTTTTATATTCCGCTTTGTCATGGGGGTTAGAGCAGAATTTGAGTCTATTCGTACACGATTACTTCATAATTCTTCTACTCTAACCATGGCACAAGCATTGTCTGAGTTGATTGCTGAAGAGACTCGTCTCCGTTCTATGTCACTTGCTCCGTCGACAATATCTCATGGTGTATTAGTTGCTTCTCATCGGGCATCCTCCCAACGGGTTAGTGCACCAAAAGGTGGTTCTTCAGACTCTTGTCAGCATTGCGGGAAAACAGGTCATATTGCAGAAAATTGTTTTGCTCAACATCCAGAAAAATTGGCTGAGTATCGTGCACGTCGTGCTGCTCGGACTCATGGTACGACTCGTGTTACTAAGGGGTCTGCATCCGTTGTTGCTGCTTCACCTGTCAATGCTCCTCAGTCTTGGGTTCTTGATTCAGGGGCATCATTCCATGTGACTTCTGATCAGTCTCAGTTGGTTAGCTGCAAATCGGTCACTGATGGTACTTCTATTCAGATTGCTGATGACACATCTTGTCATATTACTCATCAGGGTTCTCTAAACAATTCACGTTTTTCAGTACCTAATATCTCTTATGTTCCTAAGTTATCCATGAACCTTCTTTCAGTTGGTCAAGTCACTGATCAAAATTGTTTTGTTAGATTTGATGACTCATCTTGTTTTATTCAGGATCGTCGAAGCGGGACTGTGATTGGGACTGGCCATCGCCGTAGGGATTCTTCTAATCTTTACATCCTAGACACTTTGCATCTTCCCTCTCCACCTGGTTCTACCGCTCGTGTGTCATCCATTGCCTCGTCTTCCGTCTCATCCTTTGCTAAATGGTATCATCGTCTTGGTCATTTGTGTGGGTCTCGTTTGTCTACTTTGATTAAGAATGGTTGTTTAGGTCGTACTTATGTTGAGTCTTGATAAGGGAAAAATATACATTTATTATACGACACGTGGCTCGAGAGAATAAAGACACGTATGATCCGAGGACCGTTAGAGTCCAGGATTAAGGCCAAAGCCCAACCTCAATTCAGGCCCAAGGTCCCAAAGAGCTCTACTCTGGTCCCAATATCCTGAGGAGAATTACTATAGGCCCAAGGTCCAGAGGAGCTTTACTTTGGGCCCAAAGTCTGGTGTCAGCCCACGAAACTTATGGGCTAGGGAGTCCTCCGCACATGAAGGGAGACCTATGTCGTTTGACTCATAATAAAGGACGACCTAGGTCAAGGTAAGGGATTATTCTAACCACTCCAAACTCCCTCTTCTATTCATTCCGCAGCCACCACCTCAAAAAATCTAAATCCGATTCTAACTTAAGCATCAGAGGATCTACCCTTGGGGACAACCCCGGGGTTCTGTTTTGCAGGTGACGGAGCAAAGGAGACGATTTCAAGAAGACGTCGGAGCATCAACCATCGCCAGGTGTCCTCTGACTAACGTCAGATAATTCTTGTATCATCAATTGGCGCACACCGTGGAGCTGACGACTTAGGAAGAGGATTCATGGCGATACGGAAGAAAGGTGAAACCAGTCGAAGGACGCGAGGCGCTTTACGACATGATCAATCCCAAGAAAGTGAATCAAACTCTCAGGCAAACCCTAGCCCAAGCCAAGGTTCACAAAATCCGGAGACCTCGAAGACCAAGGCCGAACGACTACAGAGGGTCGAAAAAGAACTCCTTGAACTGAAGACCCTGATGAAGGGTATGATGGAAAAAGAAGCATCCCTAGGTCGAAAGGATCAAGAAGCCAGCCATGGCGAAGGTTCTAAAGCCCCCAACGATGAAACCGAGGTCAGATCTAAAAGAGACCTCGGGAGAAGGAATTTCACACCTGAGGATGGCTATCTTAAGCAAAATCTTGAGGAGATGAATGAAAGGCTCGGAGTGGTGTGGAAAGAAGTCAGAAAGCCGACGTCAGATATTTTCTCACCCACCGAGTCCCCTTTTGTTGATATCATCATGAAAGAGGAAATTCCCTCT